AGCTACATAAAAATGGCATATAGTCTGCTGAAACTCAGGGCTACCCAATGAAGTTGATGGGCAGTTTGGGTTGCCAGATCTGCCTTGGGACACTTCTGGAAGTCGGGGGGGGGGGTAGTGCCCGGGGAATGTGAAGTGTGTGGAGAGAAGAGAGCTGAGTGAAAATGCGTTGTCAGTCTAGGACTTCCACTTCTCCTAGAATCTATGGTATGCCACAATGTCACTATCCGAAGCCGCTGTCTGCTTCAGGGGAGTTAGCCTCTATAGTTTAGAGATCAGTTGTAATTCCAGGAGAACTCTGGGCCCCACCATGAGGCTGGCAACCTTGTGGGCAGTCAATTCAGAACAATGTACAACTAATTTACGGAATTTGCTGCCAGGTGACTATGAAAGCCATGAAGGATAAGCCCAGCAATATCTATTAGCCAATGTGGCGCAATGAAACCTTCATGCCACTGAAATCAGTTTGCCGGTGTGGTTGGAGCACAAACAGAAAAGGGGAGTGAAAGGTCAGCGTGGGCTTCCCAGAGGCATCTGATTGGTCACCGTAACATGGCGCTGGACTCATGGGACTGAAGAAGGGAAGAAGAGATTGGATTTATACCCCACCCTTCACTCGGAGTCTCAGAGCGGCTTACAATCTCCTTTCCCTTCCCCTCCCCACAACAGACACCCTTGTGAGGTAGGTGGGGCTGTGAGAGCTCTTTTGAGGACTGCTTTTTCAAGAACAGCTCTGACAGAACTATGGTTTGCCCAAGGTCATCCGGCAGCTGCAAGCGGAGGAGTAGGGAATCAAACCCGGTTCTCCCAGATTAGAGTCCACGCACTTAACCACTACACCAAACTGGCTCTCACACCATACTGATCCGGCAAGGTTCTTCTTGCGCTGTTACCCTGCACAGGCTCTCAAAGACTGGGGTTCTAACACCTGACCAGACAAAGCTTTTATGGACAATGCCCTCTGGTTTGAGACGCACCTACAAGTATGAGCTGGGGATCTGTGGCTGTGCATTTTCCCTGTCTGATCAACTGTGTGTTGGAAGTAGAGGGGTATCTGGAGTCCCTTCATTCTGCCAAATACCTCCCTTCCCCCGCCCCCCAGCCTTGAGTGTTGGGCTTTCCTCTGGCATGAAGCACTTTCCTCGATGGAAGAAAAGATCTGTCTGTAGAATGGATTACATAGCTTGGGGTAAAGGGCCCCAGATCATCTCTACATTGGTTAATCCAAATTGCTCTGCGGCAGAGGGATGTTGCCTAATGGCCCCAAAAGAACAGCTTACCACAGTTTAGAACAGTAACTGCACAAGAGCTGTTTTTGTAAACGAGAGGAAGTGGTATTTGGCACAGGAAGCCAAATGAAGGGGAACGGGAAGTGTGTTTATCACTTTTGCTTGGTGCAATTGAGCACCTAAAACCCCCTAAAAAGTTAGCCACAGCGGCAAAGATCCGACTCCTCAAAACAACAAACAAAACCAACCCTTAAAAAAAAAAAAAAGGTTGGCCGCAGCTACAAAGATCTGACCAGGAATTCATAGTTGTTTTCTGCAGCATCTTTTTAACATGAATTTCTCAGTGGATTTGGACACATTAAACTTTTCCTGTGAGTGGTCTGAACTGCAACGGAAGACCAGATCTTTTCCCAGATGTTCTTCAGGACTTAAGATTGTTTTTTTTCCCCTGGAACATTTTTTATTTCATACATATAAGGACTTAAGATTGAATGGGTATGAAGCAGGGGGGTGGGGGGAAGCAAACTCACCATTTGCAACAAAATTATTTGGACAGCGGTTAGATAAGCATCGCGGGTACCACATGGCTGCTGTCCAAGACATTATCCAGTTACTCAGAGCTGTGTACTTATGACATTTTGGCTGCAATCTAAAGGACAATCCTAACACTTGGAAAAGAGTTTGACATGATTATGGGAAATAAAAAACATGATTTGGTTTAGTCAGTTTTAACACACCAAATCACATTTGATTGCAAACAATTAAATCAACATTGGAGATGGCTGAACCAAAAGGTTAGTCTCCAAAAAGCACATTTCCTCGGAAAGCTCAAGTTGGGTAGTTGCGGTTGTCCGTAGCAGTAGAAAAGAGGAAGAGTCCAGTAGCACCTTAAAGACCAACAACATTTTGTGAAAGGCTATAAGCTTTCATGAGCCATGAATCCAGTAGCACCTTAAAGACTAACAAAATGTGTGGCAGAGTAGGAGCTTTCGTGAGTTACTGCTCACTTTGTGACTCACAAAAGCTCCTACCCTGTCACAAATTTTGTTAAGTCTTTAAGGTGCCTTTGAAAGCTGACATCAACTTTCCTACACTGTTTTGTGTGACTGATGCATAACTGGTATGGGCCTCCTCCCTGGTTTTTGGTGTTACATATGGTTATGTGTTTTTATTGAATCATTGTATATATACTCAATTTTACATATTTTTGAGGTTGAAATGTTTGATGACTTGCTGACTTGGGGAACCTAAGGTGGAAAGGCGACACAGAAACCCAAAAGGAATATACTACAAAAGGCAGTGAAATTATCCCCATTTATAGACATTGAGAATCAGCAACCTGATTTCATTCTAGACCACATACATCAAGGGCCAATGTGCACAAATTCCTGGAAAAAAATAACCTGACAGGAGAGCCGTTTCATAGCCATAAACTATTGGCTGAGACACCTCTGTGTCAACGAAACCAACACTCACATCAAAAGGAACATGTGATTTTTTAAAATGAAATAGCACACCTGCTCCTATTCAGACTCGGGGGACGGGGGGGGGGACTCGTTAATCACATCTCAGCAAGAAACTGTACGCACCCAGTCAAATAAAACGCCACCGAAGTGACCTTGTCGCTATTCTTTGAATGGCATACAGAGGACCACACCTTCTACGGAAATTACTTCCAAGAATGATTGTGCAAGGTGTTCTTGCAGTGCTACATGGCTTCCTCAACAGAGGGAAGGGCAGCTGAACTTGGTTGCTTAGCATTGGGGGGAAAATAAAAGCCACTCACCACTAAAGAACTCATAAACCCCGTGAACCTGATCTCTGCAGGCCCAGCTTCTTTCTCCAACAGGCACATTCGCATTTCAGAACTTTGCTGGAAGCCTGGCCACCTTACCGGCTGAAGAACGCACTTCTACGCCAGTTGCTGGAGGCTTCTGCAATTTCTTGGATGTAATTAATCCTTTTATCTGACAATCCAGCTCTGCGGGATGTCAGATTAAAGGTGTGTGTGGCCCGTGACAATTTACATTGTTTGCTGGATAACCCCAAACAGGAGTCAACCTACTTGAAAAGAACTGGGAGCGACTTTAAAAAGCTGTCATCAGTTAATGGACGAATTAGTCTGCACAAGCCACGGGGTTTCAATTCTTTAAATGGGAACTTTCACCCATGAAAGTCAGTTCTCAGATAGAATTGGGAAGCCTCAGCGACAGATTCGTTTCTTTTACTTACAAAACGCATATCCCGCCTTCCTGCTCTCGCAAGAGCCACCAAGAAGGCGACGGAATTTAAAAACACATCATAAAATCAGATTTTTAAAACCATTAAAACCAACCCTCTCCAAACACCCATCATCAAAGCAATTAAACACAGAGCTGAAATACACACAAAACGTAAAAGCATCGGTTAGGAAGGAGACATCATTCGTCCGAACGAAACAGAACAATCTTCCCCTGCTGGCGGAAGACAACAACAGAAGGGGTCAGGCGAATCTCCCTGGGGAGAGAGTTCCAGAGTTTTGGTGCCATGACTGAGAAGGCCCTCTCCCGGGTTGCCACCTGCCTAATCTCAGAAGGGGGGGGCACTCTGACGCAGAGCCTCCAAAGAGGATTGCGGTGGTTGGGCAGGTCCATAAGTATGGTTGCCAGCCTCCAGATGGTGGCTGGAGACCTCCCGTTACGACAACTGATCTCCAGGTGATAGATCTGGAGAAAATGGCTGCTTGGAAAGGTGGACTCTATGGCATTATACCCCTGCTCCTGTGCCCAAATCAGAACTTGGATACTTTTGGGGGGTGGACTTGATGGCCCTGTCTCCCCACCCCCGGGGGCTCAATCCCCAAACCTCAGAGTTTCCCAACCTGGATCTGGCAACCCTACGCTCCCCCCCCCCATCCCCTGCCAGTGACCAGGGGGACCTGGTAACCCTAGTACTTTGTATTAAATAAAAGTAGACTTGGCACCGGGAGGCACAACTATGACCTGTGTGAGTTAAAGAAGTAAAGGAAGAGCTACGCTAGCAACCTCTGGTACACCTGCTTGCTATGACACAGGGCTCCAGTCAATGCATGGAGCCTTGGGGCTGCCAGATCATTGTGAAATCGACAAACCTACCCAAAGCGATTGCCCAAAGACAGCCTACAGCTTTTTAATTTACTGTACTTATACCGTGACGGAGATCCAGGTCCTTTCCGCACTAGACCGTAAATCCTGCTTCAACCCTGTCCCCGAACTTACATTCTACATTACACTCGAGTTCACCCATGTAATTTTGTGGTATTTTTTTGTTCCCACGTTACAGTGAGGTCGCCCCGATTTTGCCCCACACTTATCCTGGGATAAACTGATGCTGTTACAACCAGGGATACATGCAAGGTATCGTGCCGCGAGTTGAACTCTGATAAAACCAGGGATGAGATCCAAGTGTGGAAAGGATCCCAGAGAGGCTTACCTCTTCCTCCTCTGCTCCATTCTATCCTCACAACAACCCTTTGAGAGAGTACGTGTGACAGGCCCAAGGTCATCCAGCAAGCTTCCAAGGCAGAGTGGGGATTTGAACCTGGGTTTCCCAGGTAGTAGTCTGACACTTGACTGTTACACCTCACTGGCAGCTAGCCCAAGATTAAACTGTTGAGCAGGAACCTGCTGTGTGGATCTAGAACACTTAGATGGTGCGAGTACACAGCAAAGCCAAATGTCATCTTGACAAAAGTCACAGTATAGTTTGTGCTTCATTGTTCCAGAATGTTTCACGATAGACCTGTTTACGCCAACTAAGTATTTAATAAGTTTAACTATTTGAAATAGTGTTACAACTGCAAAACAATGGGTTGTGTTTACAGAGTAATTCCGGAACACCTACTATAATTTTACAATACTCAGATGTGGGTGCAGACCTATAAGTATTTTCCCAGGACTTCAGTAGGGAGCTCTCATGTATTTTAGTACCTGGACCCCATCTTGACAGACTTTAGACCTAAAAAGATGCATTATCTTCTTAACAAAGGGCCACTTCCACAACACAGTGCAAGTGCAAAGAAAGAATTTGCTAAAATTGTGTAGAACTTCTTTCTTTAATCTCCTTGGAATAATTTTCTTGGCCATAAAACAGAGTCCATTATGTTCGCACTAAGTAAGGTCTGACAGTTTCCTTGTTTCTTCTGTATTTTTCTTTTTCCATAAATTCCCCAGAACAATCCCTATGAAAAGCAAGAGTCCTACTGTGCGATTGGCAGAAAACTTTTTCCAACAATCTTCAGGACTGTGTATGTCCAAAGTGTATATCTGAGGAAAGAGACAATGTATTAATATTAAAAGTTATCTACTTTTGTTATTTATTGAGCCTGTGCCTTGTTAAAGCCCTCCTCAGATCTCCTCTTCTTCAGAATCTTTTCCCAGGTTGCCAGGAGTTTACTGTTCATATTACGTGCTGCAACAAACTCTTCACTCTGTCTATTTTTGCAGCTCTTTGCCAACAGTCTTTTCCCCCTGTCTCTCTTCTACTTTCCTTCTCACTGCTGACAGATGGTAATCCACTCAAAGAGGGACCTTTTTTCTTTTGTTACACTCTACAGATATACAGGGATGGCATTAGATAAAATCACCATTACTACCATATCTTCTGTCAATATTTAGAAGGTTAGCACACCAAAATGGGGGCGGGAGAGAAGAGAGATCTGTAGAGTCCTTCCAGTAATTAGTACAACACAGCCCTTAAGCTCTGGCTTTGCAACAACAACGCAAATAGAGATGGTTGTCAACTACCTGGTAGCTTGTGTGTGTGTGTGTAAACATCATCAAGTCACAACCGAACTATGGCAACTCCAGAGGGTTTTCAAGGCAAGAGATGAGCAGAGGTGGTTTCCCAGTGCCTGCCTCTGCGTAACAACCCTGGACTTCCTTGGTGGTCTCCCACCCAAGTACTAACCAGGGCTGACCCTGTGGAGCTTTTGAGCTCTGATGAGATTGGACTAGCCTGTCCCATCCAGGTCAGAGAACCACCTGGTAGCTTACCAGTAGTAATACATGCGGGGGGGGGGGAATTGAGGACTTTACTATGTATGAACACTTAAGACGAATCTGGGGTGGATGGGAAGGAAGATGCAGTAAAAGCCTCATCTGCAGACTCCAGCACTCCTAACCATCACCTGCTCCTGTTACCGTAAGCACAATAAAGACAAATGTATCACTAAAGGGTGATTAAAGAGTCAGATCAAGAGCTGATCCTCCCAGCCTTTCGAAAGATGGTAACAAGAGTATGTGCAAAAGTCCAATGACTAGCCATCAAAGGTAGACGGGAAAGAGGCAGACTGACTATTATCTTTATGTTCCCCATCTTACAGTTAGCAAGGCTCCCTCCCACTCAGTCCAGTGGAACGAAAATCAACTCATGTAGCCTCATAGAGCCTGTGACACACAGGGACAGTGAAGAATACAGGGCCCAGTTTGTACATTCGGCAGAATCAAGTCCAAGACCAGGGGACGAGTCTCCTCTTTGTGTACAGCCACTACCTGAAGCTACAATGATAGTTACCAGAATGAGGGATTTGAATCCTAGTGTGATTTCCCCCCCCCCACACCCATGGACTCTTCTGTGCCCCTGAACTTGAGCTCCTGCTAGTCAGTGACCCCCCCCTCCAAGGAACAGTGGGAGGGGCAAAGCAGAGGTTTGCAGTGGGAGGGAGGATTCAGGGGAAATTGTCCTCTCTTCCTCCACTGGTGGAACTTCTGCTGTGCCAACGGGACAGTGGATTACGATCCACCCCAAGGATTACCGACTACGGCCTTAAAATTGCCCACTGAAGTAGATCAGTCATAGCCAGGCGACTGATGTTGAAGAAGAAGAGGAGGAGGAGGAGGAGATTGGATTTATACCCCGCCCTTCACTACCGAAGGGAGTCTTAGGGCGGCTTACAAACTCCTTTCCCTTCCCCTCCCCACAACAGACACCCTGTGAGGTAGGTGTGGCTGAGAGAGCTCCGACAGAAACTGCTCTTTTTCAAGAACAGCTGTGCCAGAACTATGGCTTGCCTAAGGTCATCCAGCAGCTGCATGTGGAGAAGTGGGGAATGAAACCCAGTTCTCCCAGATTCGAGTCCGCGCACTTAACCACTACACCAAACTGGCTCATTAGGGTTGTGCAAGCATTTTGTTGAAACAAGCTGCTGGGCTTCAGGGTGCTGTGACTTAAGAAGTCTTTAAAATCTGTGCTTCCTGTCCTACGGCCATGTATTGTATCAGCTGCCATTATGCATTTTTGAGGTTTGTTTTTGGAACCCTTATGTTGTCATAAGCTCCTCTGAGGGTGTTTAAAAATAAAGCAAAATAACCATTTACAGGATTGTGGTACCTACAGGAAGGATAACTGCATTTTTAAATAGACCTGCAAGCAAACAACTCCCTGCCTGAACCAGTATCGCCATGTGATAACTAAGGGACTCAAGATCATAAAGTGACTGCTCAGGGTCATAAAGAATAACTGGGGTGGAGCAGAAAGCTGAGCTTAGAACTCCTTGGCATTAGCCCACACCCCATGGCCTGCTCTCCCCACACACCCAAGTCACTGGAATGTCTCAAGAGTATGACTTTATCCCACTGAAACACCACAGAGAGATGAGCAGTGTGTTGATTTTGCCATTTTCTTTCCTCCTTCCTGTCAGCATCATGCTTGGGAACTAATAAGGGGAAAAACTGAATACAGAATTGGGGGCTGACAGACCATCGGCTATGGAAAAAGCATCCTCCCCACTCCATTTTCAGGGCTTATGTCACTTGACGGAGGAATTTGTAAGGGAAACAATTGAAACTAAGAACCAGAACATGCATCAAGGCAAATGAGAAACATGATTGGGAAACACAGTAATTACACCCTCATAGGGACAGAAGGCAGAATAAGGTACTATATAATGTGTGAGATGTGTGAAATGTACAGAGAACACCCAGATGGGTTTTTCACTCGCCAAACTGTGAAATAAATTCTTTTTCACTGAAGTCCGACGTTTTTCTCACACCCCTCCACGGAACCCTGATACATTTTCCCGTCACGGTCCATAGCCAGTAATGGGCTACAGATTGCATGGTCAAGGCTAAAAAAACCAGGGGCAAGGATTCATTCTCTCTCTGCTAGACTTCTCTCTTCTACAAACTGAGAGCCAGTTTGGTGTAGTGGTTAAGTGTGCGGACTCTAATCTGGGAGAACCGGGTTTGATTCCCCACTCCTCCACTTGCACCTGCTGATGTGACCTTGGGTGAGTCACAAGCTCTGGCACAGCTGTCCTTGAAAAAGAGCCGTTTCTGTCAAGAGCTCTCTCAGCCCCACCCACCTCACAGGGTGTCTGTTGTGGGGAGGGGAAGGGAAAGGAGATTGTAAGCCGCTCTGAGACTCCAAGTGAAGGGCGGGGTATAAATCCAATCTCTTCTTCTTCTTCTTCTTCTTACATGCTGGAAGTTCCCTGCCCTACACACCTGTGGTGGTGGAAAGTGCTGTCAAGTCACAGCTGAATTATGGGCCACCCCATGGGGGTTTTCAAGGAAAGGGATGTTCAGTGGTGGTTTGCCATTGCCTGCCTCTGCGTCATGCACCTGGTATTTCTTGGAGGCCTCTCATCCATATAGTAGCCAAGACCGATGAGACTGGGCTAGCCTGGGCTATCAAGGTCAGGGTGCTACACACACACACACAGGAGTGTTCAAAAACAGATGCACAAACATCGGTGGGAAGAGCTTCCCCACCAGATTCCGGTGAGTGCATAAATTGACCCACAAACCATGCTGCAGGCGGTGGGATCTCTCCCCCCCCCCCACACAAAATCAAGGTTGGTAGGACTTCCTTCCCTTTCCCTTGTACGATCCCCATCATCTGCTGCAAGGGAAGAGAGGAGGTCAGCTAATGTGTTTGTAGTCTACCTGGTTTGCACTGGAACTCACCTTTCAGGAACGTTAATAAAAAAACAAATTGTGCAGGGGGGGAGGAACGTACTATTTTTAGGAAAGCCAAAAAGAGACAAAACACAGGAGACATTTTATCTGGCTGCTGCAGTAAAGATACTTAAGAACGTGCATCAGATAGAGCACCTATCCCTTCAAACAACAGCGTAATGTTGGGAGTCTAACCTGCTGTGCCAAGTGGACGCCTACAGCTGCCACAGCTGCATAGTACGGGAAAGTCTGATCACAGTTCATTCCTGTCACAGTCAGTCCCAAAAGCATCAGAGCACTGAAGCCACTGAGCCACTGTTTTGTGTTTTCATTGAATCGGAGCGCTGTTGATTTCACACCAATGGCAACGTCGTCTTTTTTATCCTAAAAATGAAGTTGTTATAGACATAGAAGTCAAATGGCAGTAGCATTGAGCAGACTGACACAGGGACAAAAATGGTCCTTTTGTACTGTGCACTATAGCTGAAAATTGTATCAGGAAGCATTTCTGTCCCCGTTTGAAGCTTAAACCAGCAATGAAAAGCACAACAGTGGTTGAAGACAAAGCCACCAAACCATGAGGAATCCGTTATCAAAAATACAGGCAACCTAAACCATTGGCATTCAAATATATTTCTGATGTATAAAGACATTTCCTCTAACAGACAGCATCTAAGGCAGAAGAAAGCAAGCAAAGATGATTGACAGTCCATGCTGAGCATCGGTACATGGCAAGAAGCTCCTGAATCAAAGACCACCACCCTCCCCACAAAAAATAGCAGCCAGTTGAGCACCGGATTCACTTTGGAAGGTACAGTATGTTGGAGCATCCAAGCATCAGCTGAGGGGGGGGGAGATTAATTATTATTCATTTAAAGCCCACCTTTCTCACAGAGACTCAAGGCAGGTCATAAAATATGAGAAGAACAATTCAGACAAACGACGCAAATCTCTAATGAACAAAACAATGTAGCGGGGGCTCAGACAGAAGAATCGGAAAACAACGCGAGCAAACAAAACGGTCAGTGTAGGCAGAGAACGGTCTAGAGAAAAGGAGGGGAGGAGAAATCCCCCTGCCCCAACCCCTGAGAAATTAGAGAATGCTGGAGGGGAATTTTAAGGGGTGAGGCCGATTTTCATGTATTTCTTCCCCCCCCCCTCCAAATTCCTCGTTTATATAGGGCCAGCCAGAGGCTCGATGATTAAGGCGCTCCCAATGAATCACTCCCAGCTGTGGAAAATATCAGGTGTGTCGTCATTCCAAAGTCTCACATCATCATCAAGCGTAAGGAGGGCAGCTGATAAGGGCAGCCTACAAGACTCTGTGGCGTCGGCCGTTTTATTTTTGTATTTTTATCCTGCCCTTTCGCCCCAAGGCTGCTCTTGATCACCAGCGTAAAAACATCAACGGCACAGACAAAAGTCAGTCATGACAGGTGAAGCAGCCCAAGGAATTAAAAGCAAACATTTTGCGTTCCACAGAAACGGGTCACCCCACGGCAACGCAGTCCAAAGTTGTTCGGCTTCAGACGAGGGCCTTCTCACACTCAAACCCTCGGCACTTGTGTGACACAGCTTATATAAGTTGCTATTTGGGGTATATTGAATACCCAAAGTCAAATTCCAATGTATCTCTGAGTAGTAAAATGTCTCCCCACCCCCACCCCATTTTGTTTTTGGTGGCAGAGGTCAGGAATATCTGCTTTCACGTGTTATTTCCCATATTTAATATTGGTCTGTGAAAAGTGGGAAAGGCTGTAACTCGCCAGAGCACTTCATACTCCCCTAGATCACTGTTTTCTAGATGAATGAATTCTGGACATTTTTAATCCAGATACCCTCATTAATCCTTGTGCTTTTTTAATGGTCTGTGTTTTATACTGTGGTTTTTAACTGTACGCTGACCCAAGCAGGACTCTGAAGAGGAGGCTCAGATATATTCTAAATAAATAAATCATTCTGCTTTTTGAGAGAAGAAAAAGCAGCCTAAAATGCAAATTCAGTTGACTTCTGTGGGGTTCTTCTGTACATTTTTGCTTACAGAAAGAAAACTGTAATTAGTATGTATGATTAAGTTGCTGTACGTTAGAAAAGAACAAGAGTCCAGTATCACCTTAAAGACTAACAAAATTTGTGACAAGGTATGAGCTTTTGTGAGTCACTGCCAAAAAATTTGTTAGTCCTTAAGGTGCTACTAGTTTCTTGCTCTTTTCTACCACTACAGACAGACTAACATGGCTACCCATCTTGGCTGTACATTGTTTACTAATGTGCAGGTGAAAATTTCCTAAAAGGGAAAAAAGTTGTAGAGCTGAATTCTTTCAAAAAGTGCAGCCAGGGAGGAAGTTCAACCAAGAACATAGGTTTGAAAGCAAACCAGGAAGAAAAAAAGTTATATACCTGATGAGCGTAAATGGTGTCATATATCAGCGTCCACAGCACTCCTGAGAAATACAGGGGCAAGCAAACAGACCAGTCACAAGAGCCTCTGATGGCTGACCACCCGAGTAACGCACCCCAGTTGAAGGTAAGACCTAAGGGAGATGACAAAGAAAAAAATCTACATTGTTATCTGTCTTTCCTCCTGGGAGCTCAAGGAAGTGCAAATGGGTCTCCATTCCCCATTACCTTCTCACAACTATCTTGTGAGGTAGGTTAGGCTGAAAGAAAAGGACTGGGGGTTCAGTGTCACCCAGCAAGCTTCGTGGTAGAGTGGGGATTTGAATTCAGGTCTCCCAGATCCTAGTCTAACTTGGGGGGTGGTGACCCCTGGGGAGGCGTGGAATTATTGCAAGGGCTCTGTGAATCTATTTACGCACTAAGCATTGCCATTTTTATCTTTTTGTTGTGATGTATTTTCTCAATCAATGGGTACTTATAGTACTACTATCACGTGGGGTCCATGAAGGTTTTTTTTCTGGTAAAAAAGGAGTCCTCATATTCAAAACAGTCAGGAAGCAGTACTCTAACCACTACACTGCATTGCACTGCCTCTCTGTACCTACTGTGTCCCTCCGGAACAGCCTCCTGGAAATGGTCAGGGCACTCTTGTCCTCCTTCCTTTCCTTTGGGGGCAGTCTGAGCCTGGGAAATACCTGCTGGTGGGACGAGGGCATAACGTGTTTTCCCACTGGTCTTGATGTTCTTACACCTACTGTTTTAATCTTTTTTACAAAGTTGTATTTACCTTATTGTTACCCACCATGGATTCTGAGATACCCAAGAGAAAGGTGGGCATACAAATACTTTAAAAAATAGTTTGAGAAGACTGCGCAGGGAATCAGATGCAAAATAACCCATGAGGCAGGCAGATGTGAGACCCTTTTTATTGAAACTTCAGAAGAGCTGCAATGTTAGTTAAGAGCAATCAGAAGTTCCATGGCTGCTTAAGAGAACCTAGTGCACTGAGATCTGAGTTTTGTTGGCAACATGCTATGTGTTTGCCCGCAAGCCAGTCAGCCTTTTCATCCTCTGTGGCTTCTGGGCAAAGAAGAAGAAGAAGAGAAGAGATTGGATTTATACCCCGCCCTTCACTTGGAGTCTCAGAGCGGCTTACAAACTCCTTTCCCTTCCGCTCCCCACAACAGACACCCTGTGAGGTGGGTGGGGCGGAGAGAACTCTGACACAAATTGCTCTTTCAGGAACAGCTGTGCCAGAGCTTGTGACTGACCCAAGGTCGCATCAGCAGGTGCAAATGGAGGAGTGGGGAATCAAACCCGGTTCTCCCAGATTAGAGTCCACACACTTAACCACTACACCAAACTGGCACAAGTAATACACCAGTAATGCAAGGTGCGGGAAGTGTGCGCAGTAGCCTTGCCCACACCCTGACCCAGAATAAACACCTCCCTCTGCCTCAAGAAACGCAACATTACTGCAGCACCGGACCTCAGCAGGAGAAGGACTTCTTTCACTCTGTTTTATGGAAGTGAGTCAGAGCTACGCAAGGACGGAAGCCATTCCCACCTGAGGAAGGTATTACTCAAGCCCTGCCCCTCCCACTTCTGAGCCTTACCTGTATATACCGCACAGGGTGCATGCCTTTAATTCCATCCTGTGACATGGCCAGTCGTAGAAGGAGGGCAGAGCTCTTGTTTCTTAAGTGGTTATGCAGATAAGCTTTCCTCACCTCCAAATTCTGGGATGCAATAAGTGGCACTGGCCCAGGATTTCTACATAGGTCTCAAAAGGGACAGGAAATCATGTTTCTATGGAATATGATTACCCTATCAGGAGAATGGGTATTAAACAGGATAATCTATGCTGTAAATAGGAAAATGGGGCAAGCAGCAGGGAGTGGGATTGCAGAAGAGGGGAAGGATTTTAATCTTCCCATTCTATCTTTGCCAGCATCAACTTCTTTATTTGTTCTTTTTAAAAAACGCACTAAACGTCACAGGACTGCTACAGGACTCATCCCTCCTAAAGGTGGCAAGCACCACAATGTTTCTCAGCCACGTAACTGCTCTGCTAGTTGTGCGTCCCCAAGGGGCATCGATCCTACACGGCAACCTGAGAATTCCCCGATGCCTCGGGAGAGGCAGCACATAAATTCCATAAATAAATGTGACTGAATTCTTCCAAAACATAACAGAGCCAGGAGAGGAACAAGCCATTTGCAAGAGAAGGAAATTGTGAAGCTCACCCAAGACCAGCTGAGGCCAGTAGGTTATTCTCTTCATAAGGGGATAGGTCACCACAAGAGAGAGAGAGGCTGCTCCTAGCACAATGCTGTACGTGGAGGAAGAAAAGCATTCAATACAAGTGTTTTTTTTAACGCAAGTAATTATTATTGTGCACATTAAGACGCTGAACTGCAGGCTGTGGAAGGTCGGTAGTTGAGCAGTTCGAGACCCGAGCGTGCCGCATGACGGAGTGAGCTCCCGTCTCTCGTTCCAGCTCCTGCCAACCTAGCAGTTCGAAAGCAAGAAATTGCAAGTAGATAAATAGGTACCATTTCGGTGGGAAGGTAACAGCGTTCCGTGTGCCTTGGTGTTTAGTCATGCCGGCCACATGACCACGGAAACGTCTTCGGACAGTGCTGGCTCTTCGGCTTTGAAACGGAGATGAGCACCGCAACCCTAGAGTCGGACTCGACTGGCTTTCGAGCAAGGGAATCTTTACCTTTACCTTTCTTCTTAGCTTTAAGAACTGCTATTGATTGCATTTGCCATCTGCCAAGGCGATTCAGAGTAAATAATGACATGTTTTACAGCAAATGGACAGTTAGATCGCATAGGTCTGTTCTTCTAATGGTAGTGCCTTCCTCCAACCCAAGGCACAAGAGGACGGTACACAAGCTAGCGGAACAGTGGCATGGGAATCAACCCACAGAGCACAATATTACGAAAAATGCGCTCACTTACAGCCAGTGTCAGATAGTGAGGAGCACTGAGACCTGGGTTTAAACCCCTGCTCACTCATGAAGCTCACTGGGGACACTAGGGACCATCACACTCAGCCTAACCTCTTTCGCAGGGGTTGGTTCAAGGCTCCCTTTTTTAAAAAGAAAAGAAAGAAAAAGGAAGAATGGCACACATGACTTCCTGGATGCCTAGTAGGAAGGACACAAAATGTGCTGCTTTAAAAAAGCAATACCATTAAAAATAATTCACTACACATATACTTTAACAGTATGACATTTTAAAATAATTTAGTAAGGAATAGTTTAATAATAATTTACTACCCATAGATGCCCTGACGTGGACGGCTCAGGCTAGCTTGATCTCGTCAGAGCTTGGAAGTTAAGCAGGGCTGGCCCTGGTGAGTACTTGGACAGGAGACCATCAAGGAAGTCCGGGATCACTATGCAGAGTCAGGCAATGGCAAACCACCTCTGATCATCTTTAACCATGAAAAATCTCTGAAGTTGCCATAAGTCAGTTGTGACGGGAAGGCACTTTCCACCACCACCACATATACACTGCCTCACTGGCAATTGTTAAGCAGCGGCTGGACAAACACTGGTCAAGGATGCTCTAGGCTGATCCTGCATTGAGCAGGGGTTGGACTAGATCAGGGGTGGTCAAACTGTGGCTCTTTTACACATATTGCACGGCTCCCGGCAGGGCGGCTGGGGAAGCTAAATATCATTAGCAAACAAATATCATTGGGCAAATAAAAATAATTATCAATATCTGCTTTTACCGCTTTTGTTATTACTTTTTGCAGTCTCACTTAATGTTAATAAAAAGCAAATCTGCATGTTTTCCAGTAAAAATGTGTAATATTTGTTCATGTCTTGTAGCTCTCAAACATCTGATGTTTATTCTATGTGGCTCTTATGTTAAGCAAGTTCGGCCACCCCTGGACTACATGGCCTGTATGGCCCCTTCCAACTCTGTGGTTCTATATCCTATGTCCAACCTACGTTTACTACTACAACACAAGGGGAGCGGTGGCACAGTGGGTATATCCCACTGTCTTAACATCCGAACTGTGTTAGTTCGAGCCCCGCGCTGGTGTGAGCAGCCAGCCTGTTGTCCCCAGCTCATCGTCCACCCAGCGATTCGAAAGCTTCGGCGAGTAGATAAAATGGGAACCACTCCTTAGAGAGGGTGGGCACACCAATCTCCCTTGTGGGAGGGTGTTAGCTGACGGTCGGGACTTCCTGGTCGAGGTCGGAAAAAGGTGAAAGAACTTCTCGGCTACAAAAATCCCTGCAGTGGATGTCTCCAACCAGGTGGTGGCAGTGTGGCGATGTGACATACGGGTCCTGAAGCCTGGTCGACAAGCAGCCGTTTGGAAAATGACTGAGCCAAGCCAGAAGACGTTTACACTATGCAGTGACAGCATGTGCAATTAACAATGAATATACGTTGTCCTCCCTATCCCCTTTGAACATTGTTAGTCCCCTGTCTAATGTGTAACTGTACATCGCTTTGAGTCCGCTGGGTAAAGCGATTAATAAATTGAAAGTATTATTATTATTTATTATTATTAACACATTATCGCACTAAGGGTCTAATGAAGACTCAAGTCAACCCCCTCTACCCCAACAAAACAATTCTGGACGGAACTTTTCAATTTCAATACCAAAAGGCTGCACCCCCTGCAAGGCTTAGTTCGACACTGGGCCCAAGCAAGATGTGCCATCAGAATGGGTCAACCACGCACATTTCCCAGAGCCATCCACAAAGCAACTGCCCTCTTGCTCACACATTTCCAAAATCATTGCTGAATTCTAATACAGCATTTTCCACATTCATGCCTATGCAAGGATTTCAAGTGGTTCAAGTCTTAGGATGGAATGGCTAAAGCATTTTACTCACCTGTAATAATTTAAACACAAAAGGATACATAAAGCCAAACTGAGCTGCCCTCCAAGGAAAACAAGAGACTGAAAAGTTGAAATCCTTCCAGCAGCCAGCGGCCTACACGCCGTTCTTGCAACCTGAAGGCAGAGAAGTAGTTCAGTCATTCTGTTATTTCAGCAGTAATGCATATATACACATACACTGTACACAAGCTCTGTCACTTTAGATTTCATACATCAAATAATTCTCTCTCATAGATGAGCCTCAGTAAAGTTCCAGCTGGAAGTCTCAGGTTAGCCTGATCTTGTCAAAAGCTAAGCGGGTCAGTCCTGGTTAGGCTTGCCAAGTCCCAGAGGCCCGTTCCCCACCGCCGCTGCATCGGGCCCTGGGGGGAACTCCGCCCCGATGTGCACGTCACCAAAAAGTGACGTGACGACGCCAGGCACGCTGGGGGCGGGGCCACGGTCATCCGAGGGAAAACTCTATGGTTTTCCCTCAGATGGTCATGGCCCCGCCCCCAGCGTGCTCGGCGGCGTCACGTCACTTCCTGGTGATGTGGATGCGGTGCACTCGCGCTCCGTGATCGGCCCAGGAGTCCCCCGCTGCAGAGGAAGGTAACACTTGGCAACCCTAGTCCTGGTTAGTACTTGGATGGGAGACGACCAAGGAAGTCCAGGGCTGATAGTTGGAGACAGGCAATGGCAAACCACCTCTGGTCATCTCTTGCCTTGAAAACCCTACAGGGTCTCCATAAATCGCCTGGACCTTGATGGCCCTTTCCACCACCAAAATACCAGCAGCGGAGGACTTATATTTTCCCCAGACATTCAACAACTGACTAGCTTACTGTACTTCAGCAGAAAAGTTTCCAAAGGAGACTTCAGGAAGAAACTGCTGAGTTGCAATGCATATGCAGATCTGATACTACTTGACTTTTGGAATCAATAGGGACTTGAGTCCGTATAGCTTACTATAAAAAATAACCCCCCCCCCCCCTTTAGAGGTTTATGTCCATTATTCAGATTCATCTTTGCCAATTCATCAACAGTTGAGAAGCTCAGAAGTCTACTTTTATCATGATTAGGTTCCAAATCCTCATTCCTACAACACTTTGCCAACTTCTTAAGTGCCCGTTAGAGACCCAATCTAGTTTTAGAAAGAATTACTGCATCGTCAACATACCATAAGGCACTGATCTCAGCTTCAGCTAATTTTGGAGGATGGGAATAGACTTTCTAAAGACTGGAGATCACTTAAATACAGACTAAACAAAACCAGGAACAAATACCCAGCCTTGCCATACGCTGCCAATGGTGGGGATGGAATAGGTAAGGCGACCTTTATCGGAGCAGAAAGCCTAAGTAAAGGCACCTAGTTGGGTGTAACAATCTAATGCAAATGATTTAAACACCCTAACTGTACCAAAATATGGGCAAGCTTTTAAACTAGGAGGCTATAATGTTTTGCCATCGGTTATCCTTGAAGATAATTGTAAGCAAATTTCTTCAAATGATATATTTGTCCTTGTGGCACAGGAGTTGTAGAGACTTTAGACTGTATCCTGTTATTTTGTGATAACTGTGCTATACAGGCGATAGAGAGAACATAATTGCTCAACGTTTGGCTACGGTACCAGGCCTGTAATGTATTCATCACTCTCTGACTTCTTTGTTAAGCGAGCGACTTAACAAGGCCGTTCAGCAGAAGATCTAGTTATCCTTTTTTCTTTCCGGAGACAAGGTACGGATTACTGAAACAGCCGGAGTTTTTTTATGTAGCCTTTGAGACTACAGCCTGAATGATGAAAGTATTTTGTAAAACCCAGTTTGCCTTAATCACTGCACTGCATTTTGAAAGAGGACAATTGACCATTTACTAATGGAATTTTTAATGCATCAACAGCTGGGAATGGTCCACACCCACTCCGGGGATCATTTATTCCTTTGACTGCAGCTTGTTTTTGTCCATGCGCTGCAGTATGATGTGACACACCGTGCCCTGGGGAACTGGGAATATATATATATGAGTTTCCCCACCACCACCTCTGGCTTAGGAAACTTCCAGAGATTCGGGGGCAGTGCCTGGGGAGGGCAAGTTTGGAGAAGGGAGGGAGCTCAGCTGGGATGCAGTGCCATACAGCCTGTTCTCCGAAGCTGCCATTTCCTCCAAGGGCAGTTTGGAGACCAGCTGTAATTTCAGGAGAACTCTGGGCCCCACCCTGAAGTTGGCAACCCTGTAGAGGAGGCAAGATGGCGCTGGGAGCCGAGCCATCAGAAACAGCCCTCAACAAGGGAAAGCTAAAGTGTGACTGCTGCAAGCCTCCTCCCTCTGTTCTATATTGATGGGCAGTTGGGCACATTGCTCATCACCTGCAGGGAAAGCATCACATGTTTTAAATAATATTATGTAAAGTGGTTGTGTGGAACCTGAGACTCTTAAATGAAAGCTCCATTTTATCCATGGTGACAGGCTCTGAACAGTTTATTCTGAAGTAGCCTTTTGAGCGATCTGGCTAATTTACAAATATTTGGAAACAATGTAATTTTCCAACCTGGAATAGGGTTGCCAAGTGTTCCTACCTTGCCGGGCTCCGGGAGGTCCTCGTCGGTGTGTGTGCGCGCGCCACCAGCACGTCACAGGAAGTGACGTGCTACGTCGCTCACGTTGGGGGCGTGGCCCAGATCGTGGGGGGAAATCCCCCACGACGATCTGGGCCACGCCCCCAACGTGAGCGACGTGACGCAGCTTCCAGTCCTAACCTGGAACCAGGTACACAAAGCAGAAGCTCCACTGCACCCCTAAACTGAGTAGCGCTTTCTCATCTTTAGGTATCTGCTCTGGATTTATTTATGGCTTGTTCTGAAAGATGCCGACGACAAGCCTATCAGTTTCAGAGGCTGCATCAGGAAGGCCAGCCTGCATTTCTGATGTCATCAGCACAACGTCTGATGGGGAACCTATAGAGGACAGAGGCCTGTAAATTAAGCTGTTTGCGAATTATGTTTTGCTCAGGTATTCTGTTCTCAAAAATAACCATGTACATGAATCCCATAAGAATTCCAAACATGCTATAATAAACAAAGTTAACAAAAAGCTAATGATTTGGACTTGCTTCGATCAGGAAGAGAAATGGGAAGCAGCTTGCTCTGAAGTTCAGGTTTTACTTCAGGCGGGCTCTTTTTGTAGCAGGGACTCCTTTGCATATTAGGCGACACACCCCTAATGTAGCCAATCCTCCAAGAGCTTACAGAGCTCTTCTTACAGGGGCTACTGTAAGCTCTTGGAGGATTGGCTACATTAGGGGTGTGTCGCCTAATGTGCAAAGGAGTTCCTGCTTCAAAAAGAGCCCTTCTCTATCCACAACTTCCAGCACAACTCAGCAAGCTGCTTTTAAATTTGGGAAGCGGGGATGCGAGAAAGATGTTTGGCTGTTTAGTATTGGGAGCAATGGAGGAAGCCTGAAGCGTGTCCATGGACCCCTTGCTGTGGAGTGCAGCTGGTGGCAACGCTGTTGCCTTCATTCATCTTTTTCCTGATAAGAAAACTTGCTTTACAAAAAGGCTAGTTTACTTACTTAGCAAAACACTATGAGCCTGCCTGTTCTTTTCAAGTCCATGGAGTTCTCTCTACCTTTTTGTCATAGTCCTGATCCCACATGTCATTAATTGTACAGCCTGCTCCCCGCATCAGGACTGCTCCAGTGCCAAAGAGGAAAAGGGTGTAAAAGGAGGGGAGACAGCCCGGTTCTGCTGCAAGGCCTATACTCCAGGTACAAGGAAGATACAGCAACCATGTCCCTAAAACAGAAATGATAAATGAGACTGATGGAGAAATGTAGGGGAAATCAATATTAGATCAATATGTAAACTCCATAATTAAATTCCACCTCTCAATTTTGCTTTCTTCTTTACTGGCATTTCCTTTGTCGGGGAGAGAAGAGAGCAGAAAACTGAACAGTTGGGGTGTCAAACTCATTTGTTATGAGGGCCGTATCTGACATAAATGAGACCTTGTTGGGCCGGGCTATGCGTGTCATAAAATGTAATGCCAGGTAGCGGAGAGATAAACTTTATAAAGGACACAAACACAAAGGATTATTTTTCTTAAAATAAAAACATGCTTCAAACATTAGCACTCTTGCAATATTTTGTTTATTTAACAGTGTCTGATAACTGGTACCTCTTGCTCTGAATTATTGCATCAAAATGTCTGTGCTGTTGCAATCTTGAGTATGCTTTTCAGGTGTGTACCTGTAAGCTGCAGACCTACAATGATGCAGCAGCAGCAAAACTGGAAGAAGAAGCAGAAGACAGCCAGTTCCACTGCAGGCCTGATAGAAGCCCTCCGGGGGGGGCCTGATCTGGCCCCCGGGCCGCAAGATTGACACACCTGAGTTAAAGGGTAGATCTCCGATTTGAGAATTTAGACATAAATCCACAACCATGTGACAGTATGTACACGCACAGAATAATGCACAGCAGCAGAAAAACTGGCCCAAGAGAAAATTAAATAAGAGGCGGTGGGAGTAGATGTGAACAGTAACTCTTCCAAGGAAAAAGCAGATGATTCATTGTGAAACTGTATTTTCAATTCAATTCGATTTATTACGATCAAAGATCCGCAAATACCTTAAAATGTATTAAAAAAAATTCTAAATAAGACAAAGTGAATTTTAAAATTTCCTAAGAATTTCCCATAGTAATAGTCTGATTAGGATAGCCATAGCACAAAACCTTGCTACCTTAGCAGTAATTTCATTACAGATGTCAGCTAAAAGAAGAGTAGAATAAAACTGATTAGACCTGCCTGGGTAGGCAACAATTATTGGAGTAATATATTTAACAAATCTTGTGATAAAATTGACAAGATAAGAGAATGTGCTCTATTGTCTCGACCTGTCCAGAATTACAAAGATAGAGTCGGCTGTTTCAAGGGAACACTTCCTAATTTGGTATTTCATGACTCTTAGTGAAAGAGAATTAGAGAAACAACACAGGATCAGTTCCTCCCCATCCCACAGACAGTTATTTCCTCAACAACTTTACAAACTGTTAACAATGTACAAAAGCGGTAGTATACAAATACACTGAACTGGGTAAAAAGCAACAGCTCTCCAGCTTATTAACATGCTTCTACTTTTTTGCTGGTAATGGGATACGTTCTGCTAACAGCACCCTCCTGAGGAACTCTGAGAACTGGACCACAGTGGCTGATAGTGATGCTAGCTAGGATCACATATTGCCACGGCATTCTGAATACACTACAGTACTTGGAGGTTACGTTTCACTGAATGAGACTCAAACACCCCAGTCCAGAGCAGCATTAGGACTATATTTTGATACAGCTATTAATGTGAGTGGGCTTCCCCCCATTCTGTTTAGCCGAGAAGCAGCATCTTGCAGAGATGCCACCTTTTGCTGAGGTGATGGAGAAGGATAATTTTGTCTTTGCACTCAAAGGGACCCTCCCCTCTTGAAAGAAATGGCTTTGAGGATATGCATTTTGAACAGCAGAACCAGCTGCCTTCTGTGCATCATCTGGGGGTGCTAACATTTGGGTCAGCAGTAGCCAGCTGGTCCTGACCTAACCCAGATCCTCCCCTTAATGTTGCCCATCAGCGCCTCAATTGCCAATTCAGTATAGATTGCTTTAATCCTAGTCCTATTTCATTGGTCATCAGATATCTCATGATATTGACTGCATTGATCTACACTGTTTAATCTGCCTTGAGTCTCAATGAGAAAGGCAGGCTATAAATTAGGCATGGAAGAGTAGCAACTACAACCACAGGCCTTGCCAGCAGGGCATTTGGCAGAGTTGGCATGCAATTCTGGCTCACCTGACACCATCCACTGCCTCGTGAAAACATTACTGCTTGTTCGGTTGATAAACCATAGTGATAACACACAGAGACATTTTGAGAAAGTTCAGCCTCCTATTTGCAGAGTGGGGATCTAAGACACAAAAGTACGGAAACCCCCAACTAGTCCTGCATGACCAGCATCATAATGCAAGAGGAAATGAGGCAGACACAGAAAATACAAGGTATGCTGAGGTTCCTGTTTGTAAGGGAGGAGACTGGCTGTCTTGCAAATTTTCTCTTGCTACTCACAAGAGTCAATTTTTCCATAAGAACACAGGGAGTTACAGAATAAAGTCTGAGTCCAGTAGCACGTTAAAGACCAACGAAGTTTTATTCAGGGTGTGACGAAATGGCTGCCAGGCCTTAAAATAGATACCAGCCTGGTCGTTCCTTACATGTGTGTGTGGGGGTACGCCATAGGGAACAATAGAGCTGCCATACCTCCCTGCCTACACTTCCCAGCAGCCTTTTTTGAGGGTACAGTGGCTGCTGCCAGGAGGATCTGGGGTTGCCCACAGGGAGTCCACCAGGGCACCAGCTCACCTCAGAGCACCCTGGCCAATCTGTGTCTGACTAGTGAAACCACTTGTCTGGGGGTGGCACCAGGCCCATAGCCAGGATTTCGCGGTTTGTGGGGCAATTTCTTTTTCTGGTGGGGCTGCCATTATTTTTATGTCAGTTCCAGTCCGCCTCCCAAGCCCGGCCACTGGCAGCCACCCCTCTGCCTCCCATCCTGCAAAACAAAAATTTTGAGCCCCCGGAGGCGATTTTTTAATTATTTCTTATCACTACAAAAAACTACAACAGAAAAAAAGGGAAGGGGAAACTACATATACGGGAGAAAGTAAAGAACCCACTACTAACTAAAACCCCAAGAGAGGAGATCCTCCAACTAGCTTAGATACATTGAGTCTTCTCATCATTGATCCCTTTATAAACTGAGTCAAACATTTATAACACTTTTTCTTTAAAGCTTAGAATAACTGTCTAGTAACAATACCCCCAATCATCCCATAACAAAAGTCTCAAAGGCACAATTCAGAGTTCTTCAGCCTTTACTTCTCCTTTCCCCTTCTCTTCCACAGCTTATAAGGACTTTTTGGGGCTGCGGCCCCTTGCTCAGACAGAGAGTCCTCTCCAGAAGAACCGGTGTCTAGCTCGCCACTGGACTTGCTGTTCTCCTCTTTTTTCTCGTCCTCTGGCCTTCACAGCTGAACCCTTAGGAATTCTTGAGCTTTCAGAACAGAGTCAAACTTTTCTTTTTTATCTTTGATCTTGAAAGTTACGCCTTCTGGAAATAGCCATTTATATCCAATTGAGTTTGTCTGAAGAAAAAGCACAAGTTCTTTATACTTCTTTCTACGTTGTCTTACTTCAAATGGAATATCCTTTAGTGTTCTGATGGTATTTTCCCCTGCTTTCAGGGGTGTTCCAGCACCTGTTTTCAGGATTGCATTCCTGACATGCCTCTTCGAGAATCTTACTACAATTTCCCCATGCAGATTATTTTTCTTTATATATCCTGAGTATGCTCTATAGACCACGTCCATATCATTAAGTAACGATTCTGCCTTCATTTCTGT